ACACACTGTCCTCGAGAGGTGGACTGGCTCAGGACAGGATGAAGACAAACAACTTGCCTCTCCTTTTCTGAGGTTAGGAGTAGGTCCATCCATGGCTCACCAACTCTCATTCCTTCTGGCTAAGTTCTAAAACTCTGATGTTTTGGGGTTTGAGTCTGAAGCTAACCTGGGCTTGTAGTGTGTTAGAGCCTGAGCTATAGCATGAAACCGTGTCTCAACTCCCAACCCCCAAAAGGCACTTATAGGATGGGGATGTAGTGAGTGCTATGGTAGAATGCTTGCCTGTCATTTGAGGTCCTCAGGTTTAATTTCTAGGACCACAAAAAAGATATTCTTATTATTTACTATTATTCATTAAACATATAAAAATGAGCTTATATGGTAATCTCATAGGCTTGGTGAGTTCTCACACACTGCATACTTTTAGAGTAGGAAACAGAACAAGTGCCAGATGGGGTGGTACATGCCTGAAATCCCAACTGCTGGGAGATGAAGACAAGAGGATCAAGAGTTCGAGGCCCAGGCTGGCTAGATAACTCATCAGTTAAAAGTTCTTCCTGAGCAAGCCTGATGACCTGAGCTCAAGTCCCAGAATCCATGTAAAAGTGGAAAGAAAGAAGACTCTACAAATTGTTCTCTTACCCACACAAATACACTGTGACATGTGTGTACCTGTACACACACACACACACACACACACACACACACACACACACCCACACACTAAAGTTGAAAGAAGAGTTCAAGGCCAAGGCCAACCTGGGCTACACAGCACGTCCAAGGCTAGTTTGGGTTAGGACACCTTGTCTTAAGCAACAAAAGAAATAGAACATATAACCAGTTTGCCAGAGCACCTTGCTTTATTAGCTCCCCTACCCCAGTCACTACTTCTTCCTATGAATACTCAAATACCCACTATCTTTTTTTTTTTTTTTGAGACAGGGCTTTTGTGTAGTCTTGGCTCTGTAGACCAGGGTGGCCTTGAATTCAGAGATCCACTTGCCTCTGCTTCCTGAGTGCTGGGACTAAAAGTGTGTGCTGCCACTGTCCAGCTTCTTTTATTTTAAATTTTAATTATTATTCTTTATGTGTGTGTGTGTGGGGAGGGGTAACTGAACCCAGGGCATTGTGCATACTGGGTAAGCAAGCAGAACTGAGTTAGTGTTCAGACCTTTTTTTGTTATTGTTTTGAGATAGGATTTCACAATTTAGCTCTTGGCTGGCCAGGAACTCACTACATTATAGAGACAAGGCTGGTCTTGAACTCATAGAGATCTGCCTGCTTCTGCCTCTTGAGTGCTGGGATCAAGGCATGAACCACGTAGTCCAGCTTCAGATCTCTTTTTATTTTTTTGAGACAGGATCTTACTAAATTCCCTAAGGCAGCCTGGAGTTTATAACCCATGCAATCCTTGAACTTTCATTTGCCCTGTTTTTGCCTTGCTGGAATCACAGGCCTGTGCCACCAGGCCCAACCTCTGAGTTCTTATATTAGTTTTGTACGTTTTTTAAAAATTTATTTATGTGTATATGTGTGTGCCCAAGTGTATGTACATATGTGGAGGAGGCGCACTGGATGCTCTGGAACTGGAGTTACAGATGTTTGTGAGCACCATGTGGGTGCTGGGAACTGAACTTAGGTCCTCTGCAGGAGCAGCCCAGCTCTTAACCCCTGAGCCATCTCTCCAGCCCATAGTTTTGCAAGTTTTATACTTAAAAAAATTAAAATAACAGTAAGGAGTGTTTTGTGATTTGTTTCTTTGCCTTGACTGAACGTTGGTGAGATTCGTCTCTGTTGTGTACTGCTGTAGATTGTGTGAAGATACCGTAGTTGACTGGCATGTGGGTATTTCCCAGCTGGGAGTTGTTATGAATCATGTGAACACCTGGACATGTCTTCTGGTGAACATATGTGCTGGCTCTTTAAAATTTATGTTTCTAGGCAAGGGATTTCTGATGCATATATTCTGCTTTACCAGATAGTGCCAAAATGTTCTCCAAAGTGGCTGTAGCAATTTACACTCCCATCAAGCGTTAAGGTTCTAGTTGCACTTATGCCAGATTCCACGGGGAATCTGCCAGGAGACAAATAACCGACACTGGGAATCAGAGATGGGTTTTCTCTACCACAGTATAACGAAAATACAAAACATATAAACACACAGGAAAGTAAACCATGGCAGGGACAGGCCTTATCTTTTTAGGATTTCTTTATCTTTATTCGTATTTCATGTGTGTCTGTGCACCAGGTTTACATGTTACCTGCAAAGGCTACAAAGGGGCATCAGCTCCCCTGGAACTGGAGCTAACATCTTTAGCCCTCATGTTACTTCTGGGAATCAAACTTGGAAGAGCAGACAGTGCTCTTAACCACAGAGCAAGCTCTCCAGCTCTCTCTATTTTATTTTTTGAAACAAGGTTTCACTATGTAGCCCAGGCTGGTCTCAAACTCACTAGCCTTGGCGCAAACTTCCTGTAATTCTTCTGCCTCCGCCTCCCGGATGCTGGGGTTATAGGCACATGCTCCCATGTACAGCAGCAGCAGTCCTTGCCTGTATCCTTTGGACAGGATGCAGTGTCCTGATGGTGCCTGGGCTCCCAGGCTGTTCTGTTGTGTTTTATTTACTTATTATTTATTTTGAGATAGGATCTCACTGTGTAGCCCGGACTGGGCCTGGGTGTCATAGAGACCCATCTGCCCTGAGTGCTGGGATTAAAGGCATACACAGCCATGCCAGGCCAAGGTCCTCTCTTAACATGCACTGTATTATATGGAGAGTGGCAGAACACCTGAGGCCTACGGAGGAAGAAGGACCTGGAGGTTCCTTCCTGCTGGGACTGCTCATGGTTAGTGGTTACATAAATGAGGATCAGATTTGATCGATTCTTGCACTGCAAGCTGTTAAAAGCTTCCTCGATTACTTCCCAGGGGGTCACTGCAGAAACTCACAACTAAATATCTACAGGTACCTGAGGCAGCTGGAGGGACACATGGGGTTAGGAGGACCTGCTGATTCTTTCTGGATTAATCCAGAGGTCCTCTGTAAGAACAAGCTTGCCTACAGTTCTTAGCTGTCTCTTCTTTTAGGAGAGAGAGAGTATGGCTTTCTGTAAACCAAGCACTATGGGGGAAATTCGTGGAGTTCAGAGCAGGTCAGCCTTTGCCAGGAAGATACATCCTTGTGGCACACGTTCAGTGTTCAAAGGAATCACTCTTGAAATAGTCTTTAAGTACTGGGAAGAAAATCATGTTCTCAAAAGTATTTCCCAATATACCTAATCAATTCTCAAATTTGGGTCTCAAATAATACTAGCAACACGCACATAGTTCTTGTACACCTACTTTCCCCCAGCTCTGTCTTTACACTGTCTTCTTCCGGGGGGATAATCACTGAGATTTCTCTTTTCTTTGGGGACAAGGCTGGCGCTAAGAAACCCTCCCTTGGCCACTTCACAGCAAAAGCATTGAAGTTGCTCACAGAAGCTAATGGTTAATGCAGAATGAGAGCTCAGTCTTCTCAAAGCCTGAGACGCTAAGGGTGAATGAAATATAGTACATTATATATCCGAGAATAAATGGCATTATCCTATTGTAAAAAGAGATGAGGAAAGCAAGACTTGAAAGAGTTTAAATAACTTTACTCAAGTTCACACAGAACTAAGTCTGGACTCTTCAAGACTTTCCCACCAGATCTCAGTTTCCAAGGTCAGCAGATATGTTTACCAAATAGAGTGCCCACAAGTGGGCCAAGCCCTGGATATATAATAGTGATCAAGCAGACAGGTTCCTTCCCCTCACGTAGTTCACACCTGGCAGACCTAGCTACAGAGGCAGGCTGGAGAGGGAGGCCTCATTCATTTCATCTACACTGCAGGCTCTCTCACAAGCTGGTGAGTCATTCATATGGGCAACCCTCCCCCCCCCCAACCCCCGAAATTGAAATGAGCTTTAAGCAGGGTCAAGGGAAAGGGGATTAGTCGAGAGAAACATTTTTTGTTTCTGAAGGATTTCCCTCAAAAGAGGAAAAACAATCGAAGTCTTAAAAACCATTCTTAAAAATACCCGGGTTCCTGGGTAAGGAGGTGGGCGTGGAGGGAGCGGCAGGGAGGTGTGCGGCGAACCCTCAGCCAGCCACGACTCACTTGCCGGAGGAATACCGGAGGGCGGTGTAGGGCACCAGGGAGCGAAGCCCCCTAGTTCTCCCTCCGGCTCGCTGTCGCTGCAGGCCCGCGGGGACCCCGGGGGACCCCGCCCCCTCCCCCGGGCAGCACCGGCAATGAATGGGCAACTCGGGTTCTCCTGCAATCGCCGCCACCCCTCCCCCGACCGCGGTCCCCCCGCGCTGCTGCCGTCACAGGGCGGGGAGCGGGAGGCCCGCGAAGCAAACAAGCCCCAGGGCGCCTGCTTGACCCTGGGCGAGGGCGCTGCCCCGGGCGCCGAGAGGGG